TTTCTGAGTTTGTGTTACTTCACTTAGTATAAAAGTTTCTAGTTCCATCCATTTACCTGCAAATTTCATGATTGCATCTTTCTTTACTGCTGAGTAAATCTCCATCGTGTAAATGAACCACATTTTCATTATCCACTCATCAATTGAGGGACACTTAGGTTGCTTCCATCTCTTAACTATTGTGAAGAGAGCGGCAAGAAACATGGATGTACAACTGTCTCTGTGATAGGATGAGTTCTTTGGGTATATGCCAAGGAGTGGTATAACTGGTTCAAATGGTAGGTTTATTTGTAGTTTTTTAAGAGTTTTCCACACTGCTTTCCATAGGGGTTGAACCAGTTTGCAGCCCCATCAGCAGTGGATGAGTGTTCCCCTTTCCCCACATACTCTCCAACATTTGGTATCATTTGTTTTCTTGATCTTAGCAAGTCTGACTGGGGTAAGGTGGAATCTTAAAATGGTTTTAATTTGCATTTCCCTAATTATTAGGGATGCAGAACATCTTTTACGATGTTTCTCAGCCATCTTTACTTCTTCTTTTGAGAACTCTCTGTTCAGGTCCTTAGCCCATCTTTTAATTGGGTTGCTTCTTGTCTTGGATCTCTGTTTTTTGAATTCATTATAAATTCTGGTTATTAAACCTCTGTTGGATGTGTCACTGGTGAAGATATTCTCCCATTCTCTGGGTTTTCTGTTTGCTTTCTTGGTTGTCTCCTTTGATGTGCAGAAGCTTTTTAGTTTAATGAGGTCCCATTTGTTAATTCTTGCCCTTGTTTCCTGGGCAATTGATGTCCAGTTTAGAAAATCTTTCTTATGCCAATATCTTGTAGGTTATTCCCAATGTTTTCTTCTAATAGTTTCAGAGTTTCAGGCTTTACAGTGAGGTCTTTGAGCCATTTGGAATTGACTTTTGTACAGGGTGAAAGATAGGGGTTTGGTTTCATTCTTCTTAGTGGAGATCCAGTTTTGCCAGCACCATTTGCTGAACATGCTGTCTTCCTCTACTTAACGTTCTTGGCCCCTTTGTGAAATATCAGGTGGCTGAAATTGTATTTACTCATATTTGGGTCTTCAATTTTGTTCCATTGGTCTATGGGTCTATTTTTGTGCCAGTACCACGTTGTTCTTATGACTATGGCTCTGTAATACAGCTTGAAATCTGGTATGGTAATCCCCCCAGCATTGCTCTTAGTGCTCAGGGTTGTTTTGGCTATCTGAGGTCTTTTGTGCTTCCATATGAATCTTAGGAGAGTTTTTTCCAATTCTGTGAAAAATGTCATGGGGATTTTCATTGGCATTGTGTTGAATCTATATATGACTTTTCGTAGGACGGTCATTTTCACAGTATTAATTCTTCTAATCCATGAGCATGGGAAGTCCTTCCATCTCCTGGTGACTTCCTCAATCTCTTTCTTTCAGGATTTAAAATGTTCACTGTAGAGGCCATTAATTTCTTTGGTCAGGTTTATTCTTAGATATTTTATTTTCTTTGCAGCTATTGTGAAGGGGCGTGTTTCCATGTGCTTTTTCTCTGATTGGTTGTTCTTGGTATATAGAAAGGCTACAGACTTTTATAGGTTAATGGTGTAA